TTTATTGAATCAGGCTTTGATTATGTGTCCATTCTTTTGATTTCATTATTTAGCTATGCATTATTTTGTAGCTATTAAGAGCAAAGGTGGATGAGGCAGTGGAAAGAGCCCTAGGTCTGAGAACTGGGTTCTTGTCTAGATTCTGTGTCAAATTGCTGTGTGGCCTTGGGCAATCTCCTGTCTCTTTTTGAGCCTCAGTTTTTTGAACTCTAGAATGGAAGCTTTGGGCTAGGTGACGGCTAAGGTCCCTTCTATCTCTGATCCATTGTAATCTAAGAAGTTCTGGAAACACTTTTTGACAACAGAACTTTTCTGAATGTATTTTAACAGTACTACCTTTGGTTTATGAGCTTCTGTTATGGTATGATGGGCTGACACACGTACTGAAGAATGCTGCCCCCAAATTTAATTATTTTGGGGCATTACACCGCACAGGGTAAAATGAGCCATATTGTTCATCACGACTGCAGCCTTTTCTGAAATGGAGGTTATGGGATAGCCACTTAAAGGCTAACTCATTAATGCTCAGGGACGAATGAGGTAATGTGACAGCAGACCAAATTGGTGCCTGAATGTTTTCATCTAGAGACCTGTATCTCCTTCTCATGTTGTGATATATTAATGCGGATATCTTTATCCATTGTCACTGCCTGTAGACATTTGAATACCGTAGATGCAATACCTTTTGGGCACTCAGCCCTGCACACTATCAATTTCTCAAAGTCCAAATTCTCTCAACGGCTAGAAGCAAAATTCTGATGGTGCCATAAAGTGCCTAATTTATTAGGATTCTATCAATGGCATCGGTGCAGTCCTGCTTTTCTCTCAGAGGTGTTTACTAGTGAGCACTGCACCACCCCTAACTATTTAATGGGGGCAATGGAGTAAATTAGTCCTCCAAATTGTGAAGGCTGTGGATTTATGCCTAGCTGAAACATTTCTGTCCTCACAATGTCGAAGAGGGTGACGTTTCTGATGTTAATTTGTTTCTCCATCTGTGCCATGCGTTTCAGGAGGACGTGAGGAACAAGCTTGATGCCACTCGTGTGTGTTTTCCCTCTTCGTATTGCTGGAGAGTTGATCTGGTTGTGCCTCTACTCTTTGTTCAGATTCTCTCCCTTGGTAGCTGCTAATATCCTAGCCCCTTTACTGATCCAAATGAAATTATATGTTATTTTGCTCGTGACGATGTGAAATTGGATGGTTTAAAAGATAGATAAATTTTTGAGACTTGCAAGCATTTTACTAATCTGAATAATAGCATTTTAAAAATGGACCTATGCAGTTAGTTTTTCAAAATTTTATAAGGTAATTTTTTATACTTGACCCTGATGTCATTGGAGATTGAAGAAGGTCTATTCACAACAATCTCCCAAGATCCTTTTACCCATTTTAATTTAATTCAAATTTAGTAGAGATTGAACTAAGTCAGATGCATTGATACAAATTCTAATTTTATGTAATTACTTTTGAAACCTGATATTTTCTGGCAAAGTCAGGCCCTCTGCAAAGAACCTTCAATATCAATGTGTTTATTAAAAGCCAATGCTAAATATCACATGTACATTATTCATTTAATTCTTACACAGTTGGTGAAATGGATACTGGATCATTTCCCCATTTTATAGAGAAAGCCACTGAGGCTCAGAATTCAACAAACTTTCCTAAGCTCACACAGCTAAGAAATCACAAAGCTTGGCTTTGAACTCAGTTCTATTTAGCTCTGACTCCAGGGACCATTACAGATATTTGTCTAAGGATATTGTTTTCGCAAATGTGTTGAATTCTGTGCTGAAATCGAGAGGGCTTACTTTCGTCTTCCTTCTTCCTTTTTGATGTCATGGTCACTTCAGGCCAATGCCAGGGGATGCTGAAGACACTTGGGAGCAAGAGAGGCCTCTTATCACCTTGTTCTCTGTGAGGAGCCTCCTTTTGTGATCAGCTCATAGTGTTGAAGCCTAGGTATTGGTCCCCCCTCCCCAACCTGCTCATCTGCTTCTTATCTAGGCACACTGGACTTCCTAATTCTGCCTCTGTCTGGCATTCCACTGGTGCCTTGAGAGTATTGAAGGCAAGCAAGACAGTGTCAATTTTGCTGGCAGAATTTTGGCATATGATTGCTCTTAAGTTTAGCCCTGTATCTTTGAGCAGGAGGCAATGACAAACAGTTTATTCTAAGGCCTTTGATTTCCTTTGGAATTATAAGCATCTAGGCTGACTCATCTCTCAAAGGCTTCTCTCTCTCTCTCTCTCTCTCTCTTTCTCTTGGCTGACGTTGTTTTGAGGTTCTCTTATTTGTTCTCACCTTATTTTGGGGGGAGAAGAGGGATTGATTTTCATCTTGATTTTTGGGTGAAAGAACCAGCTGTATACTCTTTGGATGACCAGATTGTAACCCTTGGCAAGAAGAAATAGCTGCAACTCCAGAACAGGTACAAAAATGTCTAAATTGGGGTAAAGGGAAAGA